GTAGTGATTCAGCATATAATAAGTGTGAGATTTTATTGAAGATGTGCTTCCTGTATGCACCTTTAAGACCATATACATGTACATGTATGGTATTGGGAATTCTGAATCTTGGAAAAATATTTTAGCCTATTGCAAAAAATAGTTCATAGATTTGAGTTCTGTACATGTACTTTGGTACAAATATGCAACGAACATGTAAATCTAATAACATGGTCAGTCTGAATCTAGCTATCTGATTGGCTGAAGCAAGGTCTTACAATGTATATCTGGAACTAGAAGACCTGTGATGTGATCCTGCTCGCCTGTGTTATGCTTATGCTCTGTTATTATTTTCCACCAAATATGCCAATTTTCTCCCGAGAGCTCTTATATCAACTACCAAATACCCTCTCTTGCTGTTTATAACCTCTAAATGTATTGACAACATGTTTATATTTGAGATAGGGATCCAAACTACCATAGTAGGACATTTGCGTGCATAGATCATTTTGTGTTGCAGTCTGATTTAAAATGTTGAACTGGTGGCCATATTGTTTTGAAAAATCATTTGTCACAGTAAAACAGAGGCTGTTGGCATGTTTTAGATGCAGTTTTCTCAACTGTTGCATTGATTGCTGTTTTTGCTTTTTTATGAGCAAGAATTAACATCACTAGACTTTTGTACAGGTCCTTGAAATAATGCTCATTAAATATCTAAACTATCTATCTATATTTTACTTTCAAATGTGGCTCATTCACTGTTACATAAAACAAATAGAAAAAGATGGGAAATCTGTATTTCCTATTGACACAACACAAAGCAAAATCTTTTTTGTTGCTTTAGGGTGAATAATATTTTTAGTTATTAGAATTGATTCAACCAGTACCAGCAACAAGTTGGGTGGGTTTTATGGTCAGTTGCATACATGTACTTATTATAGTAGTATATATAACAATAATTGTGAAAAGATTATTTATAAAAGACCTATATTCATCATTTAGTTTAATAACCTCTGAATAATTTTTATCTCTGATGGCATCTGAAAACTAAATTTAGTATTCTGCTATTAAATATGCATTGTAAATTCGCAACCGGTAAAGCTTTTCATTTATTCAAATTTATATTGATGTTTTATGCTTATACTGGTTTAATATTAATATTGTTGGTGATCTTTTGAGCTTTTTAGTTCAAGCAATTTGTAAAATATTTGTAATGTACCTGCTTGCTCCAGATATTATATTTACATGTACATGTTCCAACATGACAGCTAGTACATTGAATGTTGCATAAACTCAAACAAATCAATTTTAACAAACTGTAGAAAAGACATAATTTATGTAATTGGATCCTAACCATAATCAACTGTCTTAATCACCAGTCTGGTATAGACATACATGGATGTTAACAAGAAGTTCACAGATTTCACACACATTGGTGTCATTGCTCCTTTAGCCAAAAGTCTGCTTGTCTTTGATAGACTTCATTTTCACTGTTTTGTGGTCTCATTCTCCTCTTCTTTAATACCATAGAGCAGCAGGTTATTTCTTCATGATCCATTTATATTACCATTGTTTCCAAATATTTTCTCAACAATTTGTTTTTACATTCAAGTCAATTGTTGATGTTATAACAATTCATTGCTTTTGTGTTTAACTAAATGTTACCAGTACTTGATAACATTGTTTGTCCTGTGATTCAAAATAGGAATGTGTAAAATGAATGCAAAGCTAATAATTAATATTTCGTCATGCTGATACAGGTTTTGTGTGTTGTGTCAGCGATAGAAGAAATATGTTGGATATTTAAAAACACAGTTGAAAGTGAGACATCACTATATTAACAAGTCATGACATGACATACATGTAGTCTCCATACATTTTCATTTTACCATTAGTTTTGTAATGTGCTCATAATGTATTTACTCAAAGCACAGTCCCTGTGGAGGGACTGTGCTCAAAGTGAATGAAATTGGCATGTACCTACCATGGCTCTGACCATGACTTCTAGCCCAGGTATTTAGTTTGAACAAAATCTACCCATGCCTACCTGATAGCTGCTGGTTCCAGATTGGTATGGCATATTGAATCCCTTTGGATCAGACCATTTACCCCCCCCCCCCCCCCGATGATGCATGTAGTTCTACATATTATATATCAAGTTTGACATAATTCCATTCATTTATGGATGAGATCCGGTTCCAGTATGATTGTTGGTGCATTTCCACCACTGAAATAGTTGCTGCTCAACCATCTTGAATCAAATTATTAACCAATGAATGCATCATGCTTACTTTTTATGTCTCGTATTATAAGGTTTGAACAGGAGTAGTCTGGGTATGTCTAAAATGTTGTTGCAAACATACTCTTAGAGGAACTATAAATTCATGTTCCGATAACAGATAAGCAAGCTAAATCTGATGTAATGCTCCTCCCCTCCCATTCTATGAAAACCGTGGAAAGTAGAATGAAGTTAATTAATTCTACAGCAACATTTCAAATTTCATATACTTGAGTCCTTACAATTAGTTTTTCATAGAAAAAATAAGTGGTAAAAATAATAAATGTTAAAGATTAATGTTTATATT